GTTAATAGTCTAGATAGCTATTAGTAATATATAATAAATATAAAGTAGTTAGCCTATTATAAGTACGTATATAGTAACTATTATAATAGTAGTAGTAGTAGTATAAGTATAAGTGTTATAGTAAGTTATAAATTAAGGCTTATATTAGAGATTTTTAAGTTTACTATTAGGTCTAATATAGTAATATATTATTATATAATTATATAATTACGTAATTATATAATTATATAATTATTTAATTCTAAAAAAAGTACGCTATAGGCTCTATCTCTTAGACCTAGAGAGAAAAAAGTATTCTTTATATATAAAGTATTTTATAATTCTCTCTAAACTACTATTTTTTATACTATAGTTTACTTATATAAATATTATTTTATATTTTATAGTAATATAGTACTATAATTTAATATTACTTTAGACTTAGAGTTTACTTATATAGTATTTTTACTTACTTAGCTTTATAGCTAAAAAAAAAGCTATATTATACTATACTCTAACTTTTACTCTATTTTTTACTTTTTTTATTATTACTATTAGTATTTATACTTTAAAAAGCTTATTTTTATATTAAATTCTAAAATTAAAAATATTTTAATAATTTTATAGCCTAATAGCTTTATAGCTTACTTATTACTATTTTTAAGTTTATTTTTAAGTTTACTAAAAAAGCTTTTATTACTATTACTCTTTATAAGTATATTATTATTATTATTAAAGTACTATATTTATAGTAAATATTAGAAAAAAAGTTTTATTAAATTTTATAGTTATATATAGTAAGTATAAAGTATTTAAAAAATATACTTATAATAAGATTACTATATAAAGTTACTAACTATATTTTATTACTTTACTTTATATTAATACTTTACTATAATAACTTATTTTAATAGTTTTTTAACTAATAAGCTATAGTTATATTATTATTTTATTTAAATTTTAAAATAATAAAGTAATTATATTATTTATATAGTAATTTTCTTTAAAATAAGCTACTTACTAAGAGTATTAGTAGCTAAGCTAAAAAAGCTTAGTATACTTTTATATATACTTTAGATAGAGTATATATTAAACTTTAATTATAACTTTTAAGATACTTAGTAGAGAGCTATTACTTATTTAAGACTTAATTTTTTAAATTTAAGATATCTATAACGCTGTTAATAATAAAGCATATCTGGTAGGTGTGTGCACTGCCCCGCAGCTCCAGCCACCACACCTAACCCCGCTGTCTATCGCTCATCGAATTCGCTCGTCTGTGCTGAATCGAAATCACTTATTGGTTCGCATGGAAGAGGGTTCTGATATCCAAAGTTTTATCAACGTGAGTACTGTCAGAGTTCCATCCAATAGATCAGAAACACTCGTCTCTAACGCCCCGGCCCTAAAGACCCGGAGCCCTTCGCCAAGGGTAGTGATGTCGGGTGAAGAGGATGTCCGGGCTCCTGGTGTATGTGGAAACCAAGCTCAGCCAGCCTGCTTCGGAGTTAGCCAACTTCAGATACCGAAGCGCCCAGAAATGGAAAGACTTTGCTCCACGTGTATGAGCCTCGGTCGTCTGAATAGCACGCACTGGGAAGACATCAACGACTTCCGCGAGGTTATTGTCAATCATCACCACTCGGTTGATGCTTTACTCAAGAGTGCACGTGAAGGTTGCCATCTTTGTGGGTTACTTTTGATAGCATGGGAGGACAACTGTCGCTTGGACCAAGAACCCGGGGGTGGATGGGTTGGCAAAGATGGTTTCAAGTCAATTCCGTTCAATGATGGCATCAGACTCAAATTTCAGAGGGTGAAGAAGACGTATATGGGTGCCGTCGATGAGGTACAGCTTACTATACTTTGTGGGGACTCGCTGTTTGATTACGGCGGACACCTGATCTGTAAAGCTATGGATAGTGAGCATTCTTCAATTCCGTAGGATTTCCAGTTCTTCAGGCTAAATTGTGGAACAGCCGAACATCATACCTTACCGAAAGCATGCCTCCCATCAGGAGACGACACCAATACGGGCTCATCGGCAAGTTTGTCCAGGATCAAAGCCTGGATGGATATCTGCACAAGTTCACATCCCAAATGTTCCCAGGTTGATTCTCAGCCTCCACCATTACCAACGAGAGTCATCGCGGTAGGAACTAAAGGATCTAGCAAAAGCTATCTAGTGTCTGGAGATAAGAAGAGAGGTTACTACGCCACTCTAAGCCACTGCTGGGGAGGTCCCAACAATCGACCGTTGTCGTCGACGGATCAGACCCTTTCGTGTCGACAGCAAGGCATCGAAGACGAGTCATTGCCGAAAACGTTTCGACACGCGGTTCATGTATGCAGGGAGTTGGGCATAGAGTATATTTGGATCGACTCTCTGTGTATCATCCAAGCGCAAGAAACACAAGAAGACTGGGCAAAAGAAGCACCAAAAATGGGAGTTGTATACGGCAATTCAATCTTGAACATTTCAGCGGCGGCAGCAGCAGATTCCACGCAAGGCTGTTTCAAAGAGCGCCTTGGTCTGTTCTGCTGGCCATGTCCAATCACACTGTTCGGACAGGCATGCTATCTGTTCCGACATCCAACGGGTGTAGAACTCATCTGCGCTGATCCCGGAGACCTTGATATTTCAAAGAATGTCTTAGCCCAAAGAGCGTGGGTACTTCAGGAGCAGGTCTTATCTCGCCGCTCCATCACATTTTCGAAAACTCTTCTCATTTGGCGTTGCCGGACGCTATCGACCAACGAGAAGTACCCTTTGGGAATACCGCACGCTCAGGGTATATTGGCTGACAATTATCGTCTTCTTCACTGCCTAATAAATGGTGTACCTTTACCCATGCCGAAAACGCCAATGATCTACTTCTATACCTGCTGGTACAGAATAGTGACAGAGTTTACAGGTCGGGATCTCACATATGAGGAGGATAGACTATCTGCAATTGCTGGCATTGCGAAAAGGTTTGGGGGGGTAGTAGATGACACCTATCACGCAGGGCTGTGGAGGCGCGATATGATCACGGGTTTACTTTGGAATCCAGGACATACTCCCGGCAAACACAGAACTAGATCCGCCAGGGCACCGTCATGGTCATGGGCTTCAATCGGTGGTGGTGTGACCTATCAGAACCTTCTCTCGTTCTCTGCAGTTCGCATCCCCTTCTTACCACTGGTCGATATTCTCGATGTTTTTGACCCACCAACCTGTGTCGAGCATCCGTTCGGAGTGACTTCGAAGGCATCCTTGAGCTTGTCTGGCGTCTTAATAGCAGTGGTGCAAAACGAGCACGAAGACTCAAGGCCAGCTCTGATCGATGAGGGCACCCACTTTGAGCACCGTGGTAATATTCTCATCTCGGACGTCGGGAATTTTGACCAGTTAGATCTAGCGTGCTTGTTCTATCTACCCGTTGGATTAGCCGTTGCTTATGACTATGAACAAGTCCTGCAAAACAAGGGCGATTTGCACAGATTCTTCTTGGAAACATCACTGGAGACAGAAAAGCAAGACCGCTTGGCATTTGACCACGTGTACTGCTTGATCCTGGAGATTGCCCAAGGAAAGCAAGACACTTACAGGCGAGTAGGGCTATGTATTGTGGGCTACTATCAGAACATTGAGGTTATTAGCCCAGCCGTGCTTGGAGAACGCAGGTCCATAACTCTTATTTGAAAGTCCTTTGCTTCGCCCATATACAGCTTAGCTAATGACTTCTCTTTTCTTTTACATTCCCTAGAGTATCAACGCCAAGATTGAGAACAAGACATGTGGCAAGTGACGAAGCTAGCAAAGTAGACAAGATCCATCGCACAAAATTGCCTTACTATAGTGAAAGTTTAACTATAGCTGACCCAAAGCGAGCTTAATTGACACGATGCGTTGCGAGACCCCTATGACTAGTGCAATTTCTGGCTGGTAGTACTTAAAGACTAAGAGCTCTTCTGAGATTACCTATCTGAATTCGCTCGCATAAACTCAGTAATCAACCCCATCAGCGCAATGCCCGCACCACCCACAATCTTTATCGCAAAGCGCCCAATTCTGGTCATCGTCGTCCCACACCGTCCGAGCATGTTCGTGTGCCCACGCGCCTTCATCAGAGTACTCGCCCTCGCTGTCGATGTCGCTAGACGTGGCTTCTTCAATTGAAGTGGAGGTCACTCCTGATATGCGGGATTGTGCTTGGTGACACGAAGCCTCGATAGCATGTCAGCGTTCGAACAATACCTCCCACGACGCAAGATTCTGAACTTACACTCCCCGAACCCGAATACCCACCCACTTCAATCGCAGGGTTTGTGCGAGCCAGCTTTTGCTTATGCGACGACGATGTCTCATGCTGTGACACGGCCTGCTTACTTCCGAAAGACCTTTTACACACGTCGCATCTGAACATAGCGCTATGAGACGGTGCATCGCGATGCTGCTCCATTGCTTTCTGACTGCAGAACGGTCGCTCGCATTTGTTACATATATGAGCGCGGCGGAGAGCGGCGTCGTTGGTACCCGTGTGGTTCCTCAGCGTAATTTTGGAAGTGAAGTGCTTGGAGCAAATGGGACATTGCTGTGCCATAGTGACGAGGCGAAATTTGAAGGAAAGGGGAGATACTCAAGGTAGAGCTGTGGACCCCACTTTGTGTCACCACAAGATACTCTGGATATGGCTGGGATCGGCTGCCAGACAATGGATGTAGGATGGAGACCTGGTCAGAGAGAAATAGCATAACCAATCAACTAGATAGAGAAGTAGGTCAAGTCTGATTCTTTTCGATGATAGCTTCCGATGATTATGATCTCTCTCATTCTCTTCGAAGATTGCTACATGGTTGAACGTTGTTTATTATTCTTATTTGTTGTAACCAGTACATCGTACTCGCCCTGATAGTTCAGGGATATGCTTGGGTATCATATGCTATTCCGTAATGTCGACCTCATGTCTTCGTTCGTCGTGATCCAAGTCGTCTGCAAAGCCCTGTAACTTGCGCTCTTCCCCTTCATCATACTTCTCTCACCGTACGTCCTCCCTATCCACAGTCTTCACACTCTTCTCAGTACCATCTGCTTCCTTCAACCCACCATCAACACCCCCATCGTATTGCCTCGCAGCTGGCAGAGCCGGAAGAATGCCGCTCGCAATGGCATCGAGATCAGATGGCATGCAAGTGGCCGGCGAAGTATAAGGGCCCGTAGTGTCTTGCTCCGCACCCAGCTTATCAACTTTCTTTTCGGCCCACGCGATGGCGCCGTCGACTGCGGTTTTGACAGTCTGGACGACTTCCGAGACGATGGCTGCGGCGGTTGGGGTGGCTTCGGTGGTGCCGTCTGTGCTGATCGTGCTATTATCCGACGCTGATCTTGGGGATGCAGACGAAGACTTCGCGGTATTTTGGTCTTGGTGAGAAGAGTTCTGACAGGCGTTAGTGTGTGTTGGATATAGGGTCACAGTGATAGAAGCATACTCGTTGCCTAGCTGGCGACTTCTCCTCCGTGTCTTGAGCTGTGACAGCTTCGAGTGCTTTCGGCCTCATAGTTTGTGTGGTGAGAGCGTCGAGTGCTTCCGGCTTCATTATTTGGGTGGTACAAAGAAGCTACCCTTGCAGATTGGCTTGGTGTTACTTAGTCGATCGCGCGGTCCTCCGAGGTGTGCCAATGTAGGTTGCTTGTGCATGCGGTCTAATGCCAGCAGGCGGCCATCTCCGCAGGTCCTTCTCGAAGTGTCTTTTTTGTTTGTTTGCTTGCCATGTTTGGACTGTACTGCTCTTTCCTATTCGACATGGCGATGCGTTTGTACCCGCGCAACAGGAAGCGACACCCCCACGAAAACGCTCGGATGAAGACGACCGAAATCCTGCTCGCTAATAACGACGCCATCGAAGTCCTTTTGATTAGCTGTGAGTATTGCTTCCCGATCGTCTAGTGAGCCAGATAACATTCTCACTCAAACGACTGCATCCTTTCCCCAAGGCTGCCGAGGCGAGGATTCGCAAAAGCTGAATGGCGGTCGTTTGTGGTGATTGTTCGATTATCGACGAGCTCATGAGGCAGATGATCTCAATACTAAATACTGCCCGCTCTATCGACTTCATCGTCATATTCCAGGTTCAATCTGAAAGTAGTAGCCAGGGCTTCTGTTTAGGCCTAGCTCACGTGTCCGAGTGTCTGCCCCAGAAAACCAAAATAGTCGGCTTCGTTCCCAGAATGCAGCACTTGATGCATCGGTAGCCTTGCAATACCGTGCCCAGATAGAGTACTCTGAGCGTACATGACGTTGCTGAGTTGGCTTGACATCTGCCGTTGCATCAAGGAGCCGATAAGCCTAACCCTGACGCAACACCGATCATGACCACTCCTGCGTCACGCATCGCATTTTCTGCCTTGTCAGAGACAGCGAACGCATTTTCCTGCCGACCGAACCACTTGCGACCGCCTGAACAGACTCCACGATACCGAACGGTAGTCAGATTCAGGTACCCACCGGCTATTCACCCTGCGCTCAGAAGGCAGAAGGCATAGCCTGAGACATAGACACCAGGCTACGCCATTGAGCAGAAAGCATCCTGGTCATGTCGACTTACCGAGCGTGTACCCCATCATGTGGCGCACGACTGGGGTTCAACCGCCTGAAGCGCAGATCAATGTGTCCAAGACATGTCTTCTTCCTCGTCTTCTAGAAGCTTTGTCTCACTGGTTGCGCCATCGCAGGCCACTCAGCACCTAGGCTAAGCTATACGAGGACAGACGACTCCGTGTCTTGGGACTGCACTATGGCTGTCGTTATGCCGCTTCGACTCAGCATTGAGTCAGTCGATAAGAGCGTTCTGTACACGGTGTTGGATCACCGGCACACGCATAGTCGAAGTCAATGAATCCTAGGACGCAGTGCCGGAGTCAGCAGCGAACATCACTGGCTGAGACCCCAGCCGTTGTGTGGAAGAGTCCACTTGTTCTACGGCTCCTACAGGTACCTAGGTAGAAGCCAGGATGTACCTGGTAATTGCACTTGGGCAGCAAGGTAATATGAATTGCTGCATGGAAGCATGCTCGCGCCTATCAGACGAGTTGCAAATCTTCGAGTGGAGTTCGAGTGGCTTGGTAGCAATATGGAAATGCAGCGGACTTGTGAAGGCGTAGCGCGAATGATCAGGAGATGCTGTTGATGCAGGTCCACTGCCGCCGTTCGCTGATCACAGTCATGCTGAACCCACCATGCCAAGGCAATAGCATGCGCAGTACGATCTTAGGTCGGCCGTTTGCCTGGTGTATTAGCCTATTGTACGCGGTTAGCACGCTGGAGAGTTGGAGGGCAGGCATCTCGCTTCGCGGGCCTCTCCAGACACACCGCATGCCTCGCATGCTCCGTGCTTCCTGCAGACCCTTCTGTAAGCAGGCTGCCACCACTCGTTTGAGGCTGCCACCACCACTACGCTGATCGTGTGTCTACAGACGTCCGGCATGTTGCAGGCAATTTATCGTCGACCGGGCGAAGCTGCGGCCGTGGGTGGGTAGCATCATCACCGTGCCGGCCACGGCTCGACGCGAGACCCTTGGAAGGATCACTGGCGCCATTTTTTGATTGTCAGAGCGCAAATGTGGAGTGCTTGATGCCCTTGTCACCCCCGCATTCGCCTCGCTCATCTCGCAGAGCCCGTTTCGTGACATGTGTAGGTGTAGGAGCTAAGGATGAGGCGAGATTCGGTGTGGTTATAATCGTCGTGCGTCCTGCCGTCTCATCTTCACGCCGAATTGCTGTGTCCTGCTTTCATCAGCAACGCCTGTCTCACACCCTGTGCCGCCTTGGAATCCAGTACTCTGTCTCGATATCGTGGCTGCACGCCGCAGAAGTTGTGCAGCGTGCCCCGGCCGCTGTCTAACCGTCCACCAATCATGGCTGGAATTACTCCTTCTCCAGATGTTAGTCCCGTGTCAGCGGCGACCACTAATGGAGGCTTCCCACGCGACGCCTTCTGCCTCAATCTCTCCGCTCTGCCCGACGCAAATACCTTTATCCTCAAATCCGCCCTGACGTCTCCTCATCTGCTCGACCCCCCGAATGGACTGTTCACTGGAAACGGTGGCTTGAGTAATCCCTTCAAGAAGCGGCCCCGCAACATGTCTCAATCATCTGGTACAGACCGGGAAATGTCCAATGACAACACCCCACCCGCGTCGAATGGAATCGCACCTACTAGCAATGGTACCAACGGCACGAGCACCGAACCCCGACCGAGCACAAAGAAGCGCCCAAGTACCGACACGATAGACTACCCGCGCCGGCGTGCGACGATCGCTGTACATCACTCTTATTTCGACTTATCCAGCTCCAAAAACTGACATCAAATAGTGCGAGATATGTCGGTCGCGGAAAAGTCGATGCGACGGAAACAGGCCAAAGTGCAGATTGTGTACAGAGCTGAATGCCGAGTGCATATACCGAGAGCCAGGCATTAAGCTGGACGCAGGCGACAAGCTGATCCTAGAGCATCTGAACCGCATCGAAGGTCTTTTACAATCTGGCCTCACTAGCAACTTCTCATTATCATCGCATTCGCCAGCCGCGAGCAATTCCACCAGCGAAGATTTCCTCGCCCGTAGCACCGGCAATATACCCCATCTCGGCATGGTACAGCCGATCAACGGCATAGGAACATGGACCAACCACCCGTCAAACATCTCGACCATGCCGAAAACCCACAATACTGCGGCACTCAATCTGCTGTCATCTCCAATGATCAGAGAGCTTGTGTCTCGCCAATATGACGCCAAGCTTCTTCTCCAGCTTGAAATGACTCGAGAGTCAGTAAGCCTGGGGACGAGCCGTGGGTTGGATCTCTCGAATACTGGCGCATACGTGCAGGCGTATTTTGAGCGAGTGAATGTCTTCTACGCGGTTGTAAATCCGTATACATGGAGTAGCCACTACCAGACCGCCCTCAGCCATGGTTTCCGAGATGGGCCGGAGAGCTGCATAGTCCTTCTCGTTCTTGCGCTAGGTCATGCTGCAAGCACCGGCAGTATTACACAGCAAAACCCTGAAAAGGATCCCCCAGGATTGGCATACTTTACCGCAGCATGGAGCTTACTGCCGACAGTCATGACAAGAAACAACATGGTAGCTGCACAATGTCAAATCCTCGCCGCAGCATACTTGGTGTATCTTGTACGCCCAGTCGAAGCTTGGAACGTATTATCAGGCGCCAGCATGAAACTGCAGCTTCTTCTGAGCGCGCCTGGTCGCGTATCTCCAGCGGAAGAGGAGCTGGGCAGAAGAGTGTACTGGAATGCTGTGATGATCGAAAGCGACCTACTAGCAGAGCTCGATCTTCCCCACTCCGGCCTCGCTCAATTTGAAGAAGGCTTTGCACTTCCGACCGGATTTGAGGATCTAGGAACAGAAGCAGTTGGCCGAGATGAACTGTGGTATTTCCTTGCAGAGATTGCCCTTCGTAGACTACTCAACCGTGTGAGCTCCATGCTCTACATCCGAACGACACCCTATTCCAAAGGCCCAGCTGCGACATCCATCGCTCAACTGGATCCTTTGGTTGTGGAACTTGATTACCAACTGAACCAATGGTATGCTGGGCTACCGCCAGCCATGCAGTTCCCGCTCGACAGAGTGCCTTTGCAGAATCCGGTTCAGACCGTTTTGAGACTGCGCTACTTCGCATGCCGTACCATCATATTCCGCCCATACGTGCTTTTGGTCTTGCAGGACGAGACTTTGGCCATGGATTCGAGTGTGCAGGATAATTGCCACAAGTGCTTGGAGGCATGCGTTCGTCAATTGGAGTACATCACTGCGCACCACGCTGGACATCTGCCTTATCTGTTCCAGGGCGCTCTCTCGTAAGTTTCACCAGCTGCCAACATTGCGTTTGCTGACAGTCTTGTAGCATCATCTCCCAGACATTGCTCATCATGGGTGCGACAATGACACCTTCGCTATCTCAACTGCTTCCTCCACCAGCGACTATGGACGATATCATCAACAACGTTGTTCTGGAGATGGAGCGATACGCTCACCTCGCACCTAGCCTACAGCTTTCCGCTGAGATCATTCGCGAAGCCGAAGGCAAGCGACAAATGTGGCTACGGACAGCAGGACTCAAATTTGACGTATGACTCTGATCTCGCAGTACCAGATTGCCACCCAGTACATGACTACGACTATAGGCTCTTCAAAGCAGGAACGCTACAACGCGGATCCATCTGTTTGCCATACCTGCGTAGGTGAAGCGACCTTCCACTTCTGGTAGCCTCCGCGTACCATATGATGGATCAGCAAGTCGAGCGATGATCGCACGCGACAGCGACTATCATCTACACGACACACGCGGCGCTTCTCGACGAACCCAGGACTGGGTCCAGCACAGACCTTCATCCCCAACATCCTCCGTCGGACGTTGAGACAAATGAGTACTAGGTCTCCATCAACCAGGTCCTCACATCTGCCGTACCCCGAGTGTATATGCCGGGAGTGTTTGACGAATCACTGCTCAAAATACGCCAGTTTGGCACGACACATTGTCTACATCGACATCCACCAACAATGGAATCTCCATGGAGATTCTGGTCATACCAACTGAGACGATCTTGTGCAGACTCAGGCAACCAGCAAGCCGCTGCGTTAATCCCACCAGGTGCTTAGATCAAGTACTCGTGGTGGCGAAGCACAGCCAGGAAACCGCTGGGTGGGTCTTCGCAATGAACTGAAGAGATGATCTGTGGGTACCTACGATGTACCCCATATGAATCCGGGCTCGGTACGGCACGGTGGCTTGCTCCGCTACGCATTGCCACTTCTACGGTGACCAAAGCGTCCCACCGAAGTCCACACGAGGCATCTCGCATGCATAAGCATGAGGCTACTCCACCAGAACGCACATATGCGACCCACACACATAGCAAAATACCATCCTATCACTACTCATAGTGCCATCAGTAAACGAGAAACGCATCATCGTAACTCTGGCCTTAGCCCGCGCGCCGCGCGCTCCTTCACATTGAAGCTAAGGCGCGCACCCCCTAGTAGAAATGTAATATAGATCCTGCAAGAGAGACCAGGGGTGCGGTAGGTGGCCTGGTTTACCCCACATGTTGGGGTTCTCCTGTGACTTTACCCGTACACCCACTTACTTTTCGGGCCTTCTGGAAACGTAGTGGAATGTTGTGAACGCCTTCGAGAAGCCGAGGTGCGGAGATGAGTGTGTGTGTCGGGGATGAACAGGGGGACGTGTGTGAGACCGACTGGACAGGGGTGTTGTTGGGGGACGAGATGCAGGTGAAGGACGGATGGGAGGGACTATGGGGTGATGACGCTGACTGTTATGTGAGTCGAAGCAGTACTGACCCATTGTGCTGGATGCGGTTTGTTTGGCTTCTGTAGTAGTGGCTTGGGGGCACGCCGTGTCTCATAGCCACGTTGGATATGCCTCATTCACACCGATGTTTGCATGTACAACACCGAGATGCCTTCTACAAGCGTCGTCCTCGTTCCAAAGTCTGTTGCTATCGTGTTCTGCAGCCACAACGCCGCGTCGCCGAACACTCATAACGGTGTGCTGACTAGTCAGCGAAGACCGTGGCTTGGGTTATCTCATGGTGAGAGTAGGAAATGCACCAGGCTAGGCAACGTTACAGAAAACATGGGACTAGCGTCTGATGTTTATGCATGATCCTGCCCGCTGGTTGGTTCGCATGTACCAGAGCGATTGATAGACTTTAGGACGGTAGGTTGTGATTGGTGCGTTATTCCTGACTGGGCGCCACAGGCGGAAAGACGGGAGCGCGCTCCGGTGGCATGACAACACCAGAGGTATCTGGTTGCGTAAGGCGACATCGAGAAACGGAAACGAGGCACAAGAATTTGGGGATGACGTCGGAGTCTGCTCATTTGCATTGGACAAGGGTACGGAATGGTTCTTGAATGAAGTGCATGAACCAAGACTTGGACGTGATGATCATCTCTTGGGTCTAACAGCGACCGGGCTGAGCCTTGCATTATCTCATACCAGTACAAACTCATCGGCTTCGTCCTCCTCCCAATCAACCCTTTCGCCATACATCCAGCTTTCGTAGTAACATTGTCCTACTACTGTGTATTCTCCACTCTCACACTGTCGCAATAGTAGAGGGACTGAAGATCCATGTATGATGCATATGCAGTCGCCTGGTCGTACGGCTTTTGGCCCAAGCCCAAACAATTGCTTGCTCCCGAGGAAGAGTCTTTTGTGGATGAGTCTCAGATTCATTTGAGGGAACTTCTCTTTGTGAACTGCTTCGCTAACAGGCTCGGGTGTTTTCGTGTCAATGAAGCGTTCGTACATTGAGATCAAATCGCCTGTAGTATATTGTAGAGGCTCTGCAAGGGCTTGCGGACCAAGATCATGGCCCAAGAGCGTAACAAATATACGTTCCTTAGCAGCATTCATCTCGTCTGACGGATCGATATCCACTGTAGGCATGGTCGTTCTGAGGTTAGCCATTTCTTCGGCCAGTCGTACATTCTCTACTCCAAAAGTTGCGATCTCTTCTCGGGTAACACTTGACACGAACTGGACCGTGTCAATGATCCGGCCGCGAACAACCAAGCGCACATCGCCTTCTTGATATATTCCGTTCGCTTGGCATAGGCGCCCTTTGGCGGCGGCGTACGGGTAATGTGGAGTGTCGCCAATCCTGTAACCCTGCCATTTGTCTCCTGCAGAAGAAACGTCCACTCGCCAGTCTATGGTCCAAGAAGGTATCTCCGCGTCTGCGCTGCCGCGGATAAGCCCCAGGAACGCGAGCGAGCCAGTCTTCCGCGCCATATCTGCACAAAGCTTTCGGTATGCTTGTCCAGTAGACATCCTATAATCTGCAACGAAGTCCAGAGCGGAGGTCCTTTCTTGGAAAGCTAAAAATGCATTAATGGCGTCCCTTGGGTCGCTGGCCTCACGCGATGATGAGAGCCAGAACAGTACATCCAAGAAGTCGCTATATAAGGTGCTCTGCGTAGGGTCGCCTCGTAGCCATCTACGTGCCGTGTCCATGCTCAGCAAGCGATCGACTCCGAGGTGATCTGGGATTAGCGAGTAAACGACTTGCAGGGCCGCTTTTGACGAATATCTGATGACGAAGATGATACGATAAAGTACGTATATTTCAGTTGGTGTCGTTCCAAGTATCATCGTGGGCCGAGTGGATAACACGATCTCTTGGACTATCCATGCACGTTTAAAGTACGGGCGACCGATGGCCCAAGTCAATGCTTGAATGTACTGTGCTGTTGTATAGCCTGTATCGTTCTCTTGAGAAAAGAGAGCAATCAATCTGCTTTCCAGATCCTTGTGCATCTCGGCAGTCCAATGGACATCAAGCGGTGGGAGCTCGCCCAAGTTTCTTATTAGATCAAGTAGTACAGGCGTATGCTCAGGAGACATGCCAATCCACATTAGCGTCCGCTCCGCCTGTCCATAGATGTGCGACATCAGAGAGACCTGGTGGCCTCGCTCGTCCAGATCATGCTGGTTCACAGCAATCTGATCAATCCAAATCTTCCCGCTTGATTCAGGTTGTGTCAGGAGCTCGTGAACATGGTGCAAGATGCGCGCTAGATGCACCGTGATCCTCAGAGAGCCAGCACCGGTTATTGGAATAGACGAATAAGTATTGGTATCTCCAACTATGGGTTCCGGCTCTTCGTTATCGTAGTCGGTCCATGTATATGAGAGCGCCTCGAAACGCGGCTTTTGCCGGATATCCACCTCCTCTAATTTGTATGCAGGAGCATCTTGAGTGCCGGAGACGGAGAGAAGCCGTATCGAGGTCGGAGTCGAACACGGCGAGTATTGGTATGCTGACATTATGAGGTCACACGAAGGATTTGGGACAGGCAGCCCACCACCGACGCGATGACCGCAGTGGCCCGTGCACTTGGCGCGTTCGAGCCCCACTAAAATTTCTTTGCACCTTCGACAGGTACGGCGCGCGGCAGGCACGACCACGACGTCCCTAAACACCATGGCTGTCGACAACTCACTAGAGTCGCTCCTCGCGACTCTTACTACATCCATTCAGTCTGCTACAGAAGCTCTGCCAAATGACGACATCCTACCACCAAAGGAAGGCATTTCCCTACTGGATGTCAAGAACGAGCTACTTCTATCCTACCTACAAAACCTCGTCTTCCTCATACTCCTAAAGCTTCGCGCACGAAAAGGCGACCAGCAAGAAACGAACCTCCACCCCCAAGATGAAGTCGTCCAGAAGCTAGTAGAACTGCGAATCTACCTAGAAAAGGGTGTACGACCACTCGAAAGCCGCCTCAAGTACCAAATCGACAAGATCCTCCGCACAGCCGACGATGCCACCCGCCGCACCACTCAAGCCTCCGCAAAACCCACATCGAAACCGAAGAAGAGCAAAACGGACACAGGCTCCGACTCCGACGTCAGCGACGCTGAATCGGCCGGCACAGCGCAAACCTCGGAAGACGAAGACGAAATGGCCTACGGCCCCCGCCGCGCCCTCGTAACACGTCAAAAGACCGAAGCCGCCCAAGAGCGCGCGCGCGCCGAGACCGCAAAAGACGGCATCTACCGTCCACCCAAGATAACGCCCATGGCAATGCCCGTGCCCGAAAACCGCGAAGAGCGCCGCGAGCGCCGCCCCGGAAAATCAGCCACCCTCGACGAGTTCATCGCAACCGAGCTCTCGGGCGCGCCCATCGCCGAGCCCAGCATCGGAAGCACCATCACACACGGCGGGCGGCACACAAAGTCCGAACGTGAACGGCGCGAGGAAAACGAGAGGCGCGAGTACGAAGAAGCGAACTTTACGCGGTTGGCGCCGGGGAGCAAGAAGGATGCTGCGAAGCAGAAGGCGAGGCAGCAGCGGGATGGCGGGTTTGGGGGTGAGGAGTGGCGCAGTTTGGGGGCGGGGATTGATCGGATTGAGAAGTTGACGCAGAAGAAGAGTGGGAAGTTGGGGAGCTTGGAGAAGAGTCGGAAGAGGCCTGTGGGGGATGGGCCGAGGGGGAGTGGGAGTATGGCTGGGGACGCGTTTGAGAAGAGGAGGAAGGTTGTTGGGAGGTATAAGTGAGGGGTTGGATGATATCCATTGTAGAGCAAGATCTAGAGGAGATGCAGACATTTTGCCATGTCTTGCAATCAGAAAATACATGCGTTCACATCAACGTTCTTCGTCCACGCATCCTGATACTCTTCATTACCAAATTCACCTCTTTTGATTGTAAAAGGTATCTACAAAAATCTCCCACATGACTCCCAAGCCCATACTCCATCGACGCCAAGCTATGCATTCATTCATTCCATAAGGGTAGTCCGCCCCCTCAAATTTAGCGACCAACCCCGAAAACGCCCGCAAACATCCTGCTGAAGTGCTGTGCAAATACCCCTTTTCTGCTCTCTAAGCCAGATACCTATACGAATCAGTCTGCGCGCCGTCTACGCGCTCCAGGTATTCACGCTCAATGAGCGACTCAATGCGTTTCTTGACCATGGTGACCTCGGGTTTAAATTGGCCGACGAGTTGGCTGAGGGTTTCGGACATGAGCTGTTGATGTGAGAGCTCTTTGCGTTGTCTGTTTCTTGTTAGCATGTTTGACGTTGTATAGGTTTTGAAGAATACATACTTCATGATACGCACAACGGCGGCCTCAATGCAGAAGCCTCGCGAATCGTCATTCTTCTTCTCGGTCTCGCGACGCTCACGATCGCTCTCGACCTTGTTGCCGCCGCTGACGACACCAACCTTGATCTTAACGAACTTGCCCTGGAAGCCTTCGTTGAAGGAGAACTTATCGGTGGGCTTGACATCCTTGGACATGGGCTCCTTGATCAAAATGCGTGTCTTAGGTGCGACGGCGAGCGACTGTAAGTTACGGATGAGATCACTAGGAGGGATGTTTGTCTGGGCTTGGATCTCTTCGAATGTTAGGCGTTCGCCGGCATCAAGCTCGTTGAAGAGAAGCAGGATGATCATGCCATATGTCGACACATTGAGATCGTGGCGACGCTCCTTGACAGAGCCATCCTTCTGAGGGACCTTGGGGAAGACAGCTTTGATGTCTGCTGATCCCATATTGGGGAGCCAGGTAAGCTGTCGTCCGGAATGCTTCTGGCTGTAGAACTTTTCGAATCCGCGCTTGAGCTTGTCTACAACGAGAGGGTAATTGCATCGTGGTCGCTTGTCCTCTTCGTCGGCGGCAGCTCCACCCATAGTCTCGAGAGGCCATGTCATGCTGGTCAGCACGTTAATAGACAGCTCGATGCGCTTAGGATCCTTCTCTCCGAGGCCTTCCACGTGCTTCTTGAAGCCAGCAGTAAGCTCTTCGGAGATGGTCATGTCCTTGAACATGGCCTCCAGCTTCAGAGTGAAATTGTTGCCGAGCTCGATCTTCATCTTGGAGATCATTTGCTTCTCTACTTCGTTGCTGATGGACTTGTTCATCAACAGACGGCGACACAGATGCTTCTTGTAGTAGCGCTCGAAAAGGTCCTTGTCCTGTACGTATCGTAGCAGGATGATGGCCTTCTCCAGAACCGCGTCAATCTCAGCCTCAGTCTTGCCCTTGATGCCCTTCTTCATGTTTTCGTCGATAAAGAGGGAGATGTATTCGGATGATCGTGGGAATGTCACCGAGTTGATGAAATCGGAGAAACTTGCTGTTTGCGCCTGTTGCAGTAGCGGATCGCACTCGAATGACTCTCGCCAAATCTTGTCAAACCGATCTTTCAGGGCAAGGACATCCTCGACCCACTTGATCGCAGCGACAGTCTGCTGGTTCAGGCTCTTCTCTTGCGCAGCACCCTTGCCCTTGTCGGCTGAATCGGCGGCAGGTGCAACGGCTGGCGCCAGTGACGCCGCGATCGCGTCCTTGTTGATGTCTGAGCCCATCTCGACAATGCGCTGCTGAATGGCTCGGGTTGTCTGGATCTTCTTCTCATCTACCCGCCTGTTTAGGTCGTAGATGAGGTTCAGCTCTTCAAGTCTATGGTTGTCGATCATGAAGCGTACACCGCTCTCCATTTCTACAAGCTCGTGTATCCGGAACTTGATCATTTCTTCCTCTACGACTTTCTGAATCTTCGGTCCCGTAGTGTCCAGAAGTGTTTGCTTGCAGCGCTCGTCCTCTTCGTAAATTCTGCGTCGCGCGTGTTTGCAGTATGCGCCGGCATGCGCGTCGCGTAGTAAGAGCTCCGATTCTTCGCGGTAAAAGGCTCTGCTGGTGTCCAGATACTCCACTTCAAAAGACGTGTTGTACAGTCGCTGGTCCTCCGCCTCTATCTCGCCCTCGTGTAGGCCCTCGAGCATATACACGCAGGACTTGATGAGCTGCTTGTCGATGACGTCGCCGTCGCGCTCCATCTGTATCTGGTCGAGGATGATGTTGTTCAAGAGGTTGAGGATCGCTCGAGCGTCGGTCGGGGATATCTTGGAATTGAGGATTTCGTCGCGGAACAGAACCATGGCGGCGTTGTAAATTGATGGGCGGCGATGGTCAGCACAGTAGACACGGTCCTAAGCAGGCCGTGTTAGCTAAAATCCTCAGCTCAGTCCGTCCAAATATCATCTTACCATGTACATGAGCACGTCTGCCAGCATGCTGGTGCAGATCTGGTGATCGCTCCATGCCTGCTTCAGCCCTTTCAGGAACCTCTCGCCCGCTACACGTCGCTCATTCGGTGTGGTTCCTCCGATACTCTGCGCGTCTACAAGTAGGTTCGTTGAGAGCAATTGCGAGATTGAGGCTCGGACCTCGGTGCTCAACCAATTTCGCTCGAACTCGTGAACTTTCTCGTAGAGAGCCTCGCCTTTCTTCTTCAGAACGATTCGGTATGCGTGGCGGTAAAGCTCCTCGTACGACAGCTTGGACGCATTCTTTGTGTGGATCTCCCTAAAGGCCGCCTCGATGGTGGCCCACGTGTTCTCGAAATCGACCTCGTCGCCGTGCAGACCCTGCGAACGCGCCATGATTAGTGTTGAGTCTACAGCATGGAGTCCTTTTTCGTGACAGCGAGGTTGAGCGGCGTAGGCTAGCACGCGAGGAAGGTGAAAGTGAAGGTGAAAGTGAGCGCGCAGTACGTACCCTCCTTGGCGGCCGTATCCGCTGTCTTCCTCGTCCTGCGATCATCTTCGCTCCTGCCTTCTTCTGATCGTGTGATATCTAGAGCTTCGAACCTCGGTGCGGTCGCAGGCGGAGGTAGGCTGGCGGTGCAGATGCCCGGTGTGGCGTGGGTGTAAGGAAGAGGCCGATGGTTCAAAGGAACATTTGGGGGCTAGCACGCAGCTCGCCGAGGGTGACAGTGAAGGAATGGCACGCGTGGCGGCAGACGCGAGTGATGGCGAAGTTCAGGTGCCGGGCGTGTTGCGGGCGAGGGTCCCCGCTGCACGAGAGCTCGCCGTCGTCATGGCTTGGCGCTCGGTCAATTATTCTTTGCCCGCTGCACTTCCGTTCGTCATACCTCACACGCCGTTTCACAGTCGCCAGCTCACTCTTTCACCATCTTTGAGTCGTGTCAGTTTGTGTCATATCGTCATGCGCTCCTCCACCTCTTTGTTGCGCGGCATCGCCCGAAGCACTGCGCCCCGAACTGCACGAATCCCCCATGCCGAGCGCATTCCAGCGCCCGCAAAGCGCCTCTTCCACACACCGCGAACGTCAGCTGCCATACGACCTCCACTCATACTATCACGTGCGCGGTTACCTTCTACTGTCCGCTTTGAGTCAAGCGCGGCTCCTCCCACGTCAACAGATGCGCCAGACTCACGACTAGAGCGCGAACAAGTCCCGTCATACGAACTCACATTTACCTGCAACGTCTGCAAGACACGCTCTTCACATCGATTGTCGAAGCAAGGCTACCATCATGGGACTGTTTTAATCCAATGTCCGGGCTGCAAGAATCGGCATCTCATTGCAGACCACCTCAAGGTATGGCCCATGGATAGTTGGCATGGCTGGAGGCTAATAGTTCCCAGGTATTCTCAGACAAGTCCGTCACGATCGAGGACCTCATGCGGGAGAAAGGCAGCCTAGTCAAGAGGGGTTCCTTAAGCGCAGAAGGCGATGTTGAATTCTGGGATGACGGCAGCACCACACCCAGATCCGCACAATTCCACGCCGAATCTAAGCCCAAGGGCGACAACCGCCTGGCCGCGCAGCCGGAACCATCGAAACCCTCGCAAGACTAAACGTTACGCATTCGAGATAAAAACGTCCACTTGTCGACACGGTCGATTTCTCGGACAACCGCCGACAGCCTGTATAACATTGTTTGAATACCACTCAGGAGTTTTCGTTGCGATACAGCGTTTCCGGGTGGCTGAGTGCACCTCGAATACACACGGCCCTGGAACTTTTCCACACGCGCAAAGAAGTGCTTACAGTGATGCTAGACTTACTTTTGTTCGTTCAAGATCGTGCTGCCCGTACCGCGGTATACACCCTTCGATCGCATCGTTTTGTCCAACTTGATGTCAATCCTGAACGATGGATGTGCAGTTTGATTTGCACAGAAAAGCGCCCGACGCGAACATGACGTCCATTGCCAAACAAATTATGACCTCCATCGGACTGGATAAAAAGCATCGGAGGATGTGGTATGTCGCGAAACTGCCGAGGCCTAAATTTGTGGGGATGGTGTTTCGTGCCAGTCTGAGGTGAAATCACGACCCTCAGATCGAGAGGAACACGCCCGATCAGCTGGTAACACTCAGGACGGTCTACCGCAAATGACATGGTCGGCCTAACTGTGGTTTGTTCGGAGTCATCGTCAGCTGACCTGGTAGAGAGCACCCTGATCATGCTAGCCATCTCACGATTGTCAACAACAACTAGGTGGATCATCGCGGCGATTTGCAATCTGAACCGCCTTTTCTAAAGCCTGCGTTGCGATAGAATCTGTTGAACTTGTCAAACCCGGTATTTCTTACCACTTCCAAGGCTTTTGTTGTATGGTAATAAGAGTTTTGGACGCTGCGCACTGCCATGTCCACTCTCCCTAGAAGATGACCGACTAGGAAGAATCCCATACGTCGTTTCCCATCCCAATACTTATGGGTCTGTCCTTTCGAAC